GCAGCAGCAGCAGGAGTAGCAGCAGCAGCAGGAGTAGCAGGAGCAGGAGCAGAGCGAGCCAGCGCTGTGCGCCCCTCTAATTAGACTTGATTGACATGTTGGGCCACCTGATATGCCCCGCTGTCTCGAGTGGCAATGCGGATCGATCCGACGCTGACTCATGGCCGGCCAGACAGCGTTGGTGTCCAATAACTCGACTCGACCAATTCGAGCAACTGCCCGCCCTTGCTTACCCCAGCGCTGCATATGAAGAAAGGGGGAGGGGTCCTGGAGTAGTCGGAGTTATAGTAATTTTAGGGTATTACCCTGAGAGGCTAACGGAGTTCAGAGTTCTTAATGAGAAGTTACGCTACAAAAATAAGTTCTTTTGTAATTACAGGGTATATAGAATGCTATCAGATGGCATATATAATAGGTGTAAATATATTAGAGTTGTTTATTTGCTAATTGTTTGTTGTTTAGAAGCTTGCCCAACATTGAGAATTTTACAGGGTATATATATATAGTATATATATAAGTATATATATAACAATACCTATGTATAGTAAAGTACATACGCACATATACCCTGTAAAATGCTCTACACTATATAGAGTATCCAGGGTATATATAGGATATATCAGTTGTATAGCAAATACATGCTATTCTCTTTTTCAAATACCTTCCGTGAGCCTTAGTCCTGCTCATCGATCGCCCTTTTCGCCATGCATTTACTTTAGATTAGGGACATTCCCACTCTGCGCGCGCTAACGAAATTACTTGCTAATTGCATCAAAATGCTTTTTAGCACAATTACAGGGTATGCCTTTAGCTGGACTGGCTGCATATTTAAAGAGCTGCTGCTGCTGCTTCAGCCACATAATATTTTTTAATGAGTGCCAATGAAATTTCCGTTAAGCCAACCGTAGTTTAGTCGCCTTTGCTACCTTCGCTCGAGCCCGAATTCGAACCCGAACCCGAACCGTGGCCTGAGTCTCAGCCGGGGCTCAGCTTAAAAGTTGCCCTGACAACTCTGGGGGCTCCTTGTTGTTGTCGCTGGTGTTGTTGTCGACGTTCTCGTGGCATAGTGTTGCCAATTCAATTAAATTTTGCACCCAAAAATGGTCTTCAGCGACAAAAAATTAACTTTCCAGACGAATTTTTACACAATTTTCGTTTCGTTTTTCGGCTTCGTCCTTATTTTTTAATTCTATTCTGTTTATTTTCTCTTGTGCGCTTCTTTCTCTCTCTCTCTCTCTCTTCTTTCCGTTATTGTTGTTGCTTTTCGGCTGGGCAGTCAACTAACAGAGGCAACAACAAGAACAACATCCAGCTCAAACGGCAGAAAACGAGCTGCAAGTTATTTAATTAAAAGTTCACTCAATATCCAGAAACAAATTCGTGTCCTTCTCCGCTGCTGTCCGTCCGTCGTCCTGTTGTCCGGCCGTCGGTCCGTTTATCTCGTTTATGCTTCGCATCGTTCGACTTGGTTTTTGGGGTCTTAATGGACGCTTGGCTTGGCTTGGCTTGGCTTGGTCCAGTAGTCAATATTGTTTCGAAGGAGAGCTACGTGACTTCATGTTTGCCGTATATCCACAGTGCTCAGCGAAATATGACCACAATGTCGCCTTTCGGCTGATGATTATTACTCGTTTTGTCAGTTATCGATTACATTCTAGAGTGAGCGAAACTCAATTTTCTTTCGTAGACACGTGACTTATGTGGTTCGGACACATATGGATGTCTATGGCGTTCATTAGTTGTGTTTCCTTATGATAAATGAGCTCACAGCTATGCACATAAGAGTTATCGATAAATCTTTGCAGCCTCACTTGCAGTATACTGGTTTCATATGTTATAGTTGGCTTAATAAATCTAAGAGGATTATAAAAAAGTTGTCTTTGTATTGTAAATATTCGATTTACAGTTATCTATAACACTAAAAATGATCGATATTAATTATGTATATATAGTATCAGTTATATGTATTATGAAAGTATCATCGATAAACTTAATTAGACGCAAGTCGAACAACAAATATGTATCGATAACATATAGTTTTGGTAAAAATGATTTATCGATCTTTGTTGTTGTTAGGGAAGTTTATCTAAATGCTATAGAGAACTTTACCAATTGCCCATTTCGATTACTGCTCTACGATAGTTATCGATTATTGACTGTCATATATATAAATCACTTGCTTTTATTTTAATTACTCAATTATTTTCATATATCTATGGCATAGAATTGATCTATTTATACACACATGAAGTAAAATTTGACCTTTTCCTCAGAGTTAACTAAGAGTTTAATAGTTATCGATAGATGTCTCTTATTAAACAAGTTTCTAATATTGTTATTTCTCTCTCTTTCTCTCTTTCTTTATAGAGTCTGGGTATTCTGGCTTCCATACCTGCCGGCATGCTGATACTCTCGTTGCTCGGCTTGCTGCTGTATCTGCTGACGCGCTGCTGCGATCGCAAGCAGCGCAAGCCGAGCGCCCAGCGCTGCCAGAGCTGTTCGCTGGTCATCATAACGCTGATGACCTGTGCGGCCATTGGACTAGGTAAGTGCCGGTTCGGGTGCATTGAACCCATTGTCGTAATATGCACATACATATGTACATATGTATATCCATGCCAAAACCCCGCCTGACTGCCTGCCCGCCCTCACAGGGCGGCCACGCCCCGAGGACCAAATGCACGTACCCGTCGCGTGTTTAACTTGGCAATTAGCCAAAACAAGAGCCAAGAGTCGAGAGCCAAGAGTCGAGAGTCGAGAGTCGACAGCGATGACGACGTTGTCGCCCGTTGCATTGCTCCATTACGTGCGCGGCTGTGGCTTTGGCACGTATCTGGATTTATGGGCGAGCGATCGCCGCCCCGAGTCGCGTCAATTGTCGTGGCTGTATATAAAAACTCACAATCCAAGCCGAAAACCCAAAGTCGGCGAACTTAATTCGCCCATTTCGAAGTAAACTGTGTCAAAGTGCCAAAGGTAATGCCCCGAGTCAATTCTAGTCAGCGGAGGCCCCAGCGGCCCCACATTATAATCCAGCCCACGCGTGCAATGATAATAAAAAGAAAAACGAACGAACGAACGAACGACAGAAACAACAACAATATAATCATAATAATAATTTAATTAGCGCTCTTAATTGACTCAAAAATGTGTCCAGTGCGAGCTTTGCTCTTGTGGCTCAACGAATGCGGTCGAGCAGAGTCTAAAGCGGCGAATAGACAAAGGGTTTGCATAATCAGAGCTCAAATGCAAAGTGAGAAAGAGAGAGAGAGACAGAGGGAAAGAGAGGCAGGAAAAGAGAGAGAGAGCGCTACTATCGTTACCAAGTTAGGGTGGGAGAATAAAGAGGTAGAGTGAGATAGGTACAGGATGAAAGCAGAGAAGCGCGGAGAGCTGGAGAATTGAAGATAGAAAATGATATAATGAGAGAGTGAATTAGAATTACGTAGAAGAGAGTAGAATTATGAGAAGAGAGAAAGAAAGAGAAGTATGTATAGGGGATGGTGAGATGAGAAGAGATAAGTACAAAGGCGGAAAGAGGAGGATTCTGACCTTTATATATAATATTAATAGAAAGAGGCAGAGATAGGAGGTAATGCTATCTTATGAGAAGAGAGAAAGATAGAGAAGTATGTATAGGGGATGGTGAGAAGAGAAGAGATAAGTACAAAGGCGGAAAGAGGAGGATTCTGAACTTTATATATAATATTAATAGAAAGAGACAGAGATAGGAGGTAATGATATCTTATGAGAAGAGAGAAAGAGAGAGAAGTATATATAGGGAAAGGTGAGAAGAGGAAAAGAGAAGTTACAAAGGCGGAAAGAGGAGAAGTGTGACCTTTGTATATAAGATTAATAAAAATAGACAGAGATAGGAGATAATGTTATCTTCCACTTCACGCACATCCCTTGCCCTTTAAGCCTCTGCAGGTAGCCTCATCTCAAATCAAGTCAAATGCTTCCCTAAGCAAACAGCTATAGCTCTCAGCAGCCAGCTTCAGCTTCCCCTGAGCTTTATAGAGAACATTTCGAGCACCTCACTAAAGGTAATACTCTCCAGTAGTGGCTCAACTGCATCAATTTAAGTTTACACCCAAAACTTTGTACTTATTAATTGAAAAAGGGCTTCGGCAACAATTCGGCTTCAATTTTGTTTGCCAAGTAGAAATTCGATGCCTTGACTATACTTGTACATATATCTATTTCGAGTCTTACTCAACATGTTTGCTTCACCGCTCGCTCCATTGCAGGTTTATATGGCAACGACGATTTCCACAATGGTCTGCTGCAGGCCTTCAGCTCCGGCAGGAAGGTGGAGAGTCTTGTGCTCAATCTTAAACAAGAGGTAAGTAATGCCCAAAAAAGTTTCGCTACAAAGTAAAAGTTTTACGAGCAGCATAATGGAAAATCACACACATACACATATACATATATAGAAATATATATATACATGTATATGCATATAACTAAGAACTTTGCAAATTGTTGAAAACTATTTTTTTTTTCTTTTCGCTTTGTTGCATGTTTTAGTTAGAAGTCAACATTCATTTAAGCTTCAGCTTACTTTAAACTTAATGTACAACATTTCGCATATTAAATTTGGATTTTATTAAGTTCTATAATCAATATTTAGGCGGTTCTCTTAGGTCAAGTATTCAGCAAAGTATTGCTAACAACTTTCATTTAGTAAGATTATAATCTGATTGAGATCCCTCATTGAGTACTCTTGTCTTACCCCAGTGGAACATACTCAGTGTCTGTCATAGGGATAGCCCAGTGACGCATTCAAACCATAGTCCGGCACACTCAATCCTTGGGGATTGGTATTCCTATCCACCGTTGCATCGCTGTCGCCATGGACATTTGGGCCGCAGGCAAATGGGAACTGAATGGGGATCGATTACGTTGCGTGGAAATTCGAGTGCTTGACATTCCGGCCAGCTGGATCGCTTTTCACTTCTTTTCCATTGAATTTGGCGTTACGTCAGGCCCGGAAACGTGGTTCATAGTGGCTCAGAGTGGGGCCGCATGAAATGTCATAATTCGCACCATTCAAATTCGAGCATTTGCATATTCCGATTACCTTCTATTTGCCCGACATACGATATCTTTCGACATTCTTTGTTGTCGACGTCTTTCGTCTGGCTCCCCACTCCAGCGATTTGCTCGGTAATCGTGTGAATGCGAATGTATTCAATGCTCATATCACAACAATTAGCCCAACAACAGATTCGATTCATGTCTGCCTTAATGCAAACTGAAGAAATTCGTGGTGTTTCCTAGTTCGTTAACGAAAGTCTCCTGGCATATATGATGTAAGGGTTCTTTGCTTCACTCCAATGAGTGAGCTACGGTGAGCTACGCTGAACCGATTAAATAATCGTTGCTCGAAAGATCGAGGCCATCTATTTAAAATTATTATATAATAACCGATGGCCATGGCGTCCCATTGTGTGCAATTGGAGCATAGATCATGGTGGAGATTAGGTCACAGAGCACACTCTATTGCTTTGATGCTGGGAACGGTCGTAAATTTCATGTTCATGCTGGCACAGTACTATATGATGTACTAGATAATATAATATATATAATACTTGTCATAAGTCCAACATTCTTTTCCATTATGAAAAATCTCATTATGAAGGAAACACTGTAAACTGAAGCCCAATAAACTCGGTGTTCTATTTATCTATCTATCGATAGTTTTCCTTTGTTATAGAACCTTTTTTCATCAATTTATAGAACTTTTATCTATTCTAATGAATGTGCTAATGCACAATTGAGAGCTTACTTCGACTGCATTATAAGCTATCAATGCTTCAGACTTTTATCTTGAGTTTTCCATCCGAGATCAAATAGTCTTTGGCATATCTTCTGCACACGCTCCAAAAAGTAGGCAACATTTTCTGTACGCTTTAAGCGTTGCCAGACATTGCACAATCTGCAATATTAAATCGAATTCCCATTTCAATTGCATTCCCCATGAAATGATGTTGCCAGCGAATGTGTTTATCGATAAATGCATTTTCTTAGCTTTGATTATGGCGAAGGATATGACAAATACTTGCTTATTGCTGCAGAAATTGTCACCGCCCTGCCCCGCCCCGACTGCAGCTCGATGGCATGCATATCTCGCATCTGTCGCATCTTTGGCTAGGATAAGGGACGGCTATGGAGGACACGTTGGGCCACAGCGCTGGCTTGCGCTCTATTCATAAACTTTGTCAGCGCACAGACGCTGATACATACATACATACATACACACACACACACATACATCTGTATGTATAGCAATATATACGCACATACACATAAAAGAAGCCGATAAGGCGAAAGGTTAAGAGAGCGAGTCGAGCTAAAAGTGAATGCAGAGGGAGCACGGCTGAAAAAGGGGGCGGTGCGGTTGAGGGTGCGTTTGCGGGTGCGGCTGAGGGCGTAGCCGGATGTTAGGTGCGGACAAGATGATGCTGTGGCCCAAACAGATGGCTGGCATTGCTTGGCCCTTGAGTAAAACGCTATTAATTATCTAGGCCCAGGACTAAACACACTCTCACACACACACTCACACTGAGTAGCTCTGCCAGACAGGTGGGGGGTGGCTTCGGCTTCGGCTTCTGCTTCTGGGTAGCCCTGTGTGCGTGCGTCTGCTATGGCGCTGCTTTTAGGCAAAGTCCTCGACCCTACGCCCTGTCACGCTTTGCCATGTCTGTCGCGCAGCCCTGCTGCCTGCTCTACCCTTCCCTTGCCCTTACCCTTACTCTTTCCCTTTGCCTTGCCCACCTTGGGCCTTTCTTTTGCCTTAGCCGTGTGTACTTAAATCCTTGCACAAGTGCGGAAGCAAAAGCATTACGAGCAAAAAAAAAAAACTACTATATTTATGTGCAACGTTTTCGTCCTTTGTTCCTGTTTGCCAGCTGCATGTCTGCCTCTACCTCTGTCAGCGCCACCATCCCTCCGTCCATCTGAATGTCTGTCTGCCCATGTGCGAGTCCTTTGCGGGAGCTTTCGCTTTGCCCATTTTTGGTCATTAACTTTTGAACTGCTCTCACCTGCTGCGGCTCTGAGTCACAACTTAAGTAATGGACAACAAACACCGCACTACCCGAACCCGAACCCGAACCCGAACCCGAGCCCAAAGACAAACCCTAACCCAAAACCGAGAGCCCAGCTCTGCTATGGCTTTTCGGTGGTAGCTGTCGCTGGATATCGCCATTATAATCAACGGCGACAACATTCAGCTGGCGTAAACAGCTTTAATCTAGGCATATTACTTCAACTTGTTGAGGGTTCGAGTTGACTTAGCCGCCTTCTTCTCTCGCTTAGGCCAGATTCAGCTTAGCTTCAATCGGGTCAGTTCGCTGCGAGTGCAATGCACGCAACAAACGGGGCTCAGGATAAAATGTAGGAGCCCTTTTCCACACTGCCCAACTTCCCTTAATCTATATGACCAACATGGGAATTCTAAGGGCAATGCCTAGTGAGTGGATAGCGAAGCTGTTTACAGCCAACAGTTCAGCGGGAAACTGAATTTGTGTGCTGCCATCAAGCACTGGATGGAAGGCATGGGAGACATTCATGACATTCAAGCTGATAGCAGATAAGGGATAATGAAATAATGAATAATCAATCGAAAATGCTTAGCACTAATGTAAAGCACTTGTGGTCTGAGTATATCAGTCTCACAATTTTCCAATAGGTCAATCAGTTATTAAGTTAATCAATAGTTATTCCATTAGGCGGTCGGAGATATTCTTCCTTCAATATTCATTCATTAATCAGTCAATCAATCAGTTTGCGAGTCAAGCAGTCGGCAATCAGTATTCAATCATTTGATCTGTCAGTCGGTGTGACAGTCAGTCAATCAGACAATCTATCAAACATTCCGCTTATCATCAGTCATTCTATAAGTCAGTCAATCAATTAATTCAATCAGAATGTATAGTCAGTTCATCAGCCAGTCAATCATTCAGTCAAAATCTATTGATCCACACATTCAATTAAGCGGCATACAATGAATCAGACAACCAGTTGGGCTTGCCATCAGTCATTGCCTGATTGAACAAGTGAATATAAACAATAATTATTGAATGACTCAGTCAATCAACCAATCAGTATTCAATAATTTGATCAATCAGTCAATCACTCCTCAGTCATTCAACCAGTTTGTCTATCTGTTGTCAGTCAGTCAATAAGTAGACATGTCTGTCAATAATTATTGAATAACTCAGTCAATCAACCAATCGGTATTCAATCAACCAATCAATGACTCAGTCATTCAACCAGTTTGTCTATCTGTCGTCATTCAGTCAATAATTAGGCGTGTCTATTAATAATTATTGAATAACTCAGTCAATCAGCCAGTCAGTATTCAACCAATCGACTCATTCAACCAGTTTGTCTATCTGTCGTCAGTCAGTCAATAATTAGGCGTGTCAGTCAATTAGGATACTCAGTCAGACAACACTCAAAGAGTCCGTCAATCACTCAGTCTGTACTCAATGAGTCAGTCAGTCAATCGGTTCGTCAATTACTCAGTCAATCGTAAGTCGCTCAATTGGTCATTGGCTTACTCACTCAGACAGTCAGTCAACCATGTAGTTAGTCATTATTCACTCATCGCATCAATTTCTTATCGTACTACAAATGCGCCCTTGCTTACATTAAGACATGCCCAAAGCCCAACCCAGCTGATTTAGCTGGATATTGAACTGATATATGATATTCAATTATTCCCCCCCTCTCTCTCTCTCTCTCTCTCTCTCTCTCTAATACACATATCTAATATGCTCTTTTGCCTTCTCATTCATTGACAGACTGAAACCATAAAGCGTGATCTCGAAACGAAAATGGCATCGCACAAGGTGCAGGACATGGTGGAGAAGCCCCAGTACAATCAGACCGCAGTTATGCTGCTCATTGAGACGTCGCGTCTGGTGCGGGAGAATACGTCGCGCGCGGTCACCTCGCTGGACAACATGGTGCTCTATTTCATGAAGACTAAGGGCAGCGAGAACGAGACCTCGCTGATGGGCATTCTCCATGTAGGTGCCAGACAGCTGCTTGGGAATGTGAACTCTCATTAATCTATCTCCCTCTCTCTCTCTCTCTCTCTCTCTCTCTCTCTCTCTCTCTTTCTTTTGTTAGCTGGGCGATCTATATGAATCGATACGATGGCCAGCCACATTGGCCTTCCTCACCCTGCTGCTGTTCCTGTGCACAGTCCTGGTCATCGGGGTCGCCCGTCGCTCGCGCTGCACGCTGATCTTCTTCAGTGTCTCGGGCCTGTTCTGCATCATCATCTGCTGGCTGCTGGCCGGCATCTATTTGGCCTCCAGCGTGGCAGCCGGCGACTTTTGCATGCGTCCCCATGAGTACATGTGCCGCCAGGTGGGCATGGTAAGCTGCATGCGCATTCAATTTACCCCCATTGATGAGTTTCTTATCTAATGTGTGTTTGCTTTTCGATTCTGAAATTACAGCGCAGTCCGTATGTTTATTTCCTTAACTGTGGCACATTGCGCAATCGCTTCATATTGCGCCTCAACGAGTCCCGCGATTTGGTGGAACGTGCTCGCGAGAGCGTTGAAATGATGCAACGGTAAATAGAACAACAGCATCGCATTCATTAGGACTTGGAAGCAATCCAATCAACATTGCATATTACGTATCACATAGTGAAGGAAACGTTGCCTGGGGGCGTATATAGACTCTAGATACTTGAGCTGAGCCAAGTGTTTTAGTGTTTTAGTAGTCGCATGTTGATTAGATAAACCCGTAACTGCCTAGAATTGTCAAGCTTACATAGAAAAGTAAAATAATAGATTGCCTATTATAGACAGCTATATAAGGCAGTTTATATCGGGGATTTCGAGATTTTTAGTTTTAGACAAAAGATCTAATGGGCTCACATGCATATTAAGCTCTACTAATCTAAGACTTACAGTGAAGGAAACAAATAAGAAGGCTCTAGTCGAGACTGCTTGACTAGACTAGATACCCTGAACCCTAGCAGATAATATTCTAATCATGCTGCACTTCTTCTATGCACACATATGGACATCCACGCGCATGTATAAGCACGCGCTCTGCTAACTGCGCAGTTAGCAGCGACTGCGCTTGGGCTGCGCTGCAGTGAGGGCAATATTATGAGAATTAAGTTATTGAATCATTTCTTTTGTTGTAGGTTTATTTTCATGAAACTTGCTAAACGTGATCATAATGTTCACAAACCTCTAGTACTTGAAATACGTTTTTTACAATTTGGGGTCAAGAGGGGGCGTGGTATACAAAATCTATAAATTACAAGTTCTTCGTATCCATTAAATATATATACATAATGAATCGAAAGTCTTCAGGTCTAATAGTATTCAATTTAGGCTGAAAAAACAAAATCTATTTATCGATTATCCTCGATAAAAAACGTATCGAATGAGTTATCGGGAATATATGATAAGCTTGTACGGCGTATGGTAAACAGGAGTATCCATGCCAAATTTCAGCTCTCTAGCTCTTATAACTTCTGAGATCGGCTTGCTCATACGAAGGGTCAGACGGACGGACAGAGCTATATCCGCTCAGCTCGTCGCCCTGATGAAGAATATATATACTTTGTGGGGTCTGCGATGATTCCTTCTGCCCGTTACATACTGTTCAATGGGTTCAGGGTATAAAAATCGAATGGATGCATATACCTATATACTACGCTCCTATATATAGCAATCATAGTACAATAATATGCGATGATACGATTGGTTAGCCTTAGGCAGACATTTCTCAATAACAACTCGAGCTATATTTATAATGATTTTAGTATATACAAATATATGTATGTATGTATATTTACATCTGTATTCTTGTCACAGCATGAGCCAGGACACGTATCCGCGCATTGACATTCAACGCACACTGAACGCCATGGACAACGACCTGGAGGAGACGAAACGCAATCTGACCAATCTGTCCGCCACACTGGACAGACGGGCCATCGATCGACACTATGCAGAGGCGCTGCACGGCCTCTGCGGCGGCGGCCTGCTCGGCCTCAGTCTGATGATGGTCGCCGGCCTGCTGACCGCCTTTCTGCTAACCATACTGGTCTACGCGGACTCGCACGCCTGGATCTACCTGAGCAAGAGGTGAGCTATGCGCTTGATTTGACAATGCGAGCTGAAAGTCTGATTGCGTTTGATTGCTTGCAGGCCCACCATGGATGGCGATAAGTCGGAGACGGCGCCGCTGTTCTCAGCGTCGAATGCGCCGAGTGCCAGCATTTCGCCGACGGCGCCGATGAGCACCGGCACCATAAATCGCACACTGCTGCACCATCAGCAGGCGCACGGTGTGCCGATGGGCGGCAGTGTGGCCGGCGGCGCTGGGGGAGCTGGGGGACACACGGGCACGCTGCCCAGCGGCGGCAGCTTGGCTGGCGGCAATGGCGTCGGCCCGTACAGGAATGGCACGGCGGGACTGCGACAAGGGTTGGCATCACCATCATCACAATCAAGCAACAACAATACATCATCTGCAACAATTTATAACCACCACCACCACCAACAACAACAACAACAACAACAACTACAACACCACCACCACCACAACCACTACAACACACAGCATAGAACTAACTCAACGGCAGCGGCGGTGGCGGCGGCCACATCCCTTTCGAGCCGCTCCAATGGGGGGCGCCGTTCGCCGTCGCCGCCGCCCGGCTATGATTTGGTGCATGGCACAAGGCATGAAGTTTAATTTAATTTGATTTTGTACTCCTTTTAATTTGCTCACCTTTGATTCGATTTGATTTGATTTGATTTAGTCTTAGTTTTTAATTATAGTCTTAGTCTTAGTCTTAGTCTTGGTAGACACGACATTTCATTTGAATTTACATTTATTTTATTTTCATTTTCTTAAATTGGGTTTCCTATTATGATTTCTGTTATGATTTTCTTTTTGTTATTATATTTTCATTTGTTGTGTGCCCAATGCCCAGCACTAGGCCACGCCCACTAGCTGCATGACCCATACAATCGCACACAGCATACAAATGTAGTTCAAACTAGTTGATCACAATCTATATATAGCGTATATATCGTATATCGTATACATCGTACTTGGACAACAACACGACAACGCCTAACGCACCCACACCCACACGACATATGAAGCAGCATTAGGGGTAGTCTCTATATGCACCGTCCCAGCTTGATCATAAGAAATGCCTTGAGTACTGTAGCAACTGCTTAAAGGCGAAGCTGAAAAATATATCAAATATATTTGTGCAGCCAGAGTAGATAAATAGAGGTTGAGGTTTATTTGCTGTAGCCTGGTTTGCCCACCATTATGCAGAGTTTCTGCCCTATATATATGTAATACAACTAATATGCATTCAATTTACATTTCATAAACATTTCCAAGCATATTTGTCAACAATATTTCTAGATCTTGAGCCATACTTGCCTTAGCATTAGGATTTTTCGTAGACAGCAGAGGAAATTCCTTTGCCATAAGTGAGCTAAGCTAGGGTTTGCGACTTCGTCAGCCTTATGCAGCAACTCCAATCAGATGCCAATAAACCTATAAGAACAATACAGAAACTTTGCTTAGATAAGCCATAAGCACTTGTGTCTTAGATAGATTTAAGCAATAGGTGTCTAAGCCAATAAAGATACGAATGAAACACTATGTTTACCCCTAAATATAATATATATATACATGCCATATAAATCTAGAGAGCTCCGCTGATTCAGGATTGGCGCAGTAGAACTGAGCAGAGCTACATATTAAATAGAAATTCAAGGTAACCATAGGCTTAGCGGAACGTAGAAGGTAGAAAAGGTGTAAGGGTATTGAATTATCATCCTGTAGATGATTGCATCACGCTCTCTCTCTAACGATTAACCAACTGTAACACTCCCGAAAGTTCGCTCTACATTTGCCAGAGTGCCCCTAATGCTGCCGCTTGTTTAACTGTTTCCCGTCGCCCGCTCGCCTATCGGCAGCTGTTGCATTTGCCTTGCATTCGCGTTGACTTCAACATTTAACTGATGATTTGTACCGTTATGTCTGCTTGCAGATCGGGCCACCACACGCTCGGCCGGCTGCCGTCGCACCACCAACAGTCGGCGTCGTATCTGCCCGGCCCCAACAACGGCAAATATGCGACGCTCAGCAAGCAGTGTAAGACGCTCGAATCGAACGACTTCTACTGAGATTCGCTTGCCTGCAGCACGTATGCAGGCAATAGCAACAACACGCAGCACAGCAGCAACATCAGCCAGCAGCAACAGCAACAGCAGCAGCAACAGCAGCAGCAGCAGCACCACCACCATCACAGCAGCAGCAACACATTGAAGAACATATTCGCATCGGCGACGCTGCCCCGCTCCACGGGCAGCTCCATACGCTCCGTGCTGTCCGCACAGACGGCCAATGCCATCTGCAAGTCGACTGGCAATGGCCTGGACGCTGACGTCCTGGTCGACGATCGCGATCCCCGTGACGTCACCAACAACAGCTTCAATCGCTTCGATCCCAAGTACATCAGCATCGGGCCCAAGGCGGTGCGCGGCAACAACAATCTGAACATTGTGGCCGCCGCCACGGCCAACAAGTGCGCCACGCTGCGCCACGTGGGCCGCTATGGCGGCTCGCTCAAGGGCGCCTCGCCGTCGCCCAATCTGCGCAGCGCCAAGACGCCGTCGATAGCCACAGTGTCGAAGGACTACTGCCAGCAGGCGGACTGCATGCCGCAGGTCTATGGGGGCGGCTCCACGGACATGTTGGTGCCGAATGCAACTCAGCAGCAGCAGCAGCAGCAGCAACAGCAACAGCAACAGCAGCAGCTGCAGCAGCAACCGCCGCCACCTTCGCAGCAACAGCAGCAGCTGCAGATGCAGATGGTGGTGCAGCAGGTGGTGCCACCACCGCCGCCGCCCCAGCAGCAGCAGCAGCAGCAGCAGCAATTGCAGCCACAGCCCGCGCCACCGCCGCCACCCAAGCCAAAGATAGTCAACACCTTTACGGAAATACCCGGCACCACGGGCGTGGGCAGCTCCTATGCCAAGGAGCAGCAGCAGTTGCTGGCGCTGCAGCAGCAGCAACAGCAGCAGTTGCTAGCGCTACAACAGCTACAGCAGCAGCAGCAACAGCAGCAGCAGCAGCAACAGCAGCAGCAGCAGCAGCAGC